CCTTTGCATGCTCAACTTTTAACGCGCAAAATAAAAGTGAAAAACCAAGCAAACGTGAAACTCAGAATAAATTTTTTTCGAAAGAAATTGGTCTTTTCACGCGATTCAATACGTCGCTGGCACGCATCCAACCGAAGAAATTCGAAATTTTTGAAGTCTGAAAAAAAAACAACAGGAAAGCGGCACTCAGCTTTGCATTAGATGCGAGCAATGCAGCTACAAGCAACAAATTTACGAGTAAGATCTAGAACTACAATAAACTGTAGCGACAACACAACCGTTCAGCCGAGCCGCACAGTAGCCGCAAAGAAAAGAACTTTTGGAGTTAATCATTAACGGTTAATGGATGGCACGGCACGCAACCACAAAATGCCATGTAAAAATGGCGCACAGGCTTGTGTCCCCAGCGGAGTAGACAGCAGGGGAACATAAGGCTCCTATCCGAGCTCTAATAAACAGCTGCCTGTAAATATACGAATACACTTCTCGAATGCCAAAGATCCACATATCTACTAAATCATTTGTTGGTGGAGTTCTTGCGCCATAATCCGCCCGCGATTCGCTGTCGTCTTTTTGCTGTCGGACATTTTCACGGATGGACAAGAAACATTTTCCGTAGATATCTTAAGTAATTCTTTTGCGATTTTTTGGGAAACAAGCGGCAAAGGCAAAGCATTTCACAAACAGGCGAATGTAGCGCAAATTTATAGTAACATGTGTACGTATGTATGTGTATGGTACAGGCATTTATGTATGTATGTCATCTTGTCTTCTTATAGCTACCCCCACACGATTCGCAGCGCAATTTTTCTACATAGCCGCCTGGTTGACAGCGCCAAGCGTAGGCAGAGTGAAAGGATTACGTATTCGAAATTTTCACTTTTCATCTGCTTGCATCTGCGATGATCCAGCTCCTACTCCGCGCACTGACTGTATTAGCTACGGCCGCCACATTAGTTAACACCCTTGTCTCAAGTCACAAAGTCACATAAAACTCAATCATCCGCTTCATGTTCGTGCGTGCATCAACATGCATTCATACATACATTGTATGTACATAAATGTACAGACATAAACAATCGGGGTGGTGCGTCTTCACGGGTCCTAAGCTAAGCACCGGAAATCCTTTAAATACATTTTCATTTTCTCTGTTTACATTCGCTCAAATTCGCTTTGTTTTGACGGCTGGAGCAACTTGAGCTGCTGAGTTTTCTTCGGTTTAGACATTCATTCGTGACTGAAGTCGTATGGCCATTACAATTCTACATACACAACAAATATGCAATGGAATTTCCGGATGCATTGTGCTATTGCTTTTATAGTTGCCTATTTTTGGAGATATTCTTTCGTTGGGAGTACTATGAATGTAAGTGGTTGCGGAAGTGAAAAAAAACCAATTGGCTGCCCATTTGCTAGTGGCTCCATCACTTCTTATTCCACGAAGGAAAACCCATACAACCAAAATTTAAATAATGTATGATAAGACACTTACATACGTGCATTATTGGAATGTATGTATAGCTTAGATCACCCCAGCAACGGGTTGTGCGCTGGGTTTAAGACCCGCCATGTAAAAACCACTTCCAATGAAAAGAAAAAGAAAGCGATCTCCAAGTAAAGTCCTCTCTCGTCGTACAAAAAAAAGAACACTTTAAGACTTCGAATCATAAGTCTAGTTCAGATTTGTTCCTTCATAAATAGACTTGAAGTCCATAAATAGCTAGGTATTCATCTCGCTGATATGTTTTTCTCAGTCAGTTTTACAAATTCTGGAGTCGAGCAAAGTGCGGCTGACATTCATCATAAATTTATTAATGGCTGTCAATAAAGACCGTATATTTTCAGGCGGAATTGAGCTATTCCGCATTTACATAAATATCTATTCACTAAACTGCAATGGAGCCTTAATGGAAAACGGTGCGCTTTTCATTGGAAATTGGTTCGAAGAGAGATTTATTCATTATTGTCATCTGAAAAAAAAAAAAAACAAATACTATTTTAGCCCAATAAGTTAAGACTTCAGTCGCAGTCGAACACGCGGAACTGGATGTGCTATGTCAGTACCCTAGTGCTGAGCCGGAATGTTTTTAAATTTATGCTGTTAACTTTTTTTTAAGAAGTATTGAGTCCAGCATCAAATTCATCGCCTTTTCTTTCTCCTAAGTCGTATCACTTTCGATTGCCTCAGACCATAAAACACCTAAAAAATATGACAGCCTCGACAACAATCTAAACACATCAAATGCGCCTGGAAAACTGACAACTTTTACAGACCATCAATCAGACGATCAATCAATCACTCATCCATATCGTCAATCAAAAAAAAGTAGCGGCTGCTGTCTCATTAACAAACAGGAGCGATTTTGATGTTAGCATACACAGCTACTCACATACATACTTACGGGCATATAACTAAGTGCGCCTTCATATTTAAGCGCAGGGAATTATAGTGGATGGATCTGCATGTTTTAATTTAGCAACATTTTCCTCGTCTAGAGTTAAATTCTAAATGCAGACTTTTAATCCGTGACACCTAAGTATGTAGGTGTGGGTGTGGGTGTGGGTGGCCAAAAAATGGTGAAAGGAAATTTATTAGGTTCTTAAAATTGTAGCTGCTGTTGAATTAGTCACATTAAAATTTCATAAGTTTCCTATTTCCGCTGACAACCTTCGGCGGCGCATTAAATTCATTTTTACCAATAAATTCTAAAAAAAAAGAAAATGTTGTTGCTGTTAACTTTGTTTGTGCGACTTTGGTGTGTGTTGTCAATTATCCAAAGCGATGTCGCTATTCTGCCGAGTTTGCCACCTTCGATGATCCACAAGCTATCCTACCTACCATTCACTCTATGATTCAGTCAGTAGATACATATGTACGTGTGACGAGTATGTGCTTGTGAGGCGTTAAAGAATGCACCGAAAGTTTTACGCAACGTTGCCCAGCAGCCAGCCAACTGAATGACGGACCACTTACTCAGCGGCGTTGGCTGTCGGCTGTCGGCGTTTGAGTCACTCGCTGCTCTTAATTGTTTTGTCTTACACAATGTACTCGTATGTAGTCAATTTGAGATTTTGGCAGCACACCAAGAAAATGCAAACAACTGTGCTACAACGTAAAGTGCCGAAGAGAGGGGGTAAATGCCTACCCCATACAGGGTATAAGTATGTTTTCTGTTGTTTACAAATAAGGCTGAATGTATTTACTCCAATCGAATTTTCCGCCTATCCTGAGTCTGAAAGGTGTACATTGTAGAATTTGATTATATATGTATGTTAAGAACCATCAAAACCAGCAGACCAAAAATGATTATAATTTATTTTTCGCTGTTGATCAACTGGCAGCACCTGTCGCGAACAACATCTCACGAGCTGGGGGGTATACAATGACCTCAAAATATATTTGGCAATTCTAATGAGATGCCAAGGCTACTTGTTGCCTGCAGCTAATCGGAAATTTCCAAACACTCCGTTAAGTGTAGAAACATAAAATGTGGTTCGTTTATTTTAAGTAGTTCCGATTCAAAAATGCGGCAGTGCCAACTTCTTTCTCAATGTTATTGTTGTTGTTGTCTCAGCAGAGTACAACCATCCTAGGCAGTATTGTCATCTGATTCGGCGAGCCCGAGGCCGGTAAACCGGGCGACGTCCTTGTGCTGCCGGTGCCAGGCTCGTCGCATTGGAGGTGCATTCGACGAGATGCGGTGTTATGAGACCCGTTTCTTTACCACTTCTGAACCGAGTTCTGCTGACTATCCCGCCATTCTGGAATGAATCGGGGGTGAATAAGGATCGCGGAGGTTGACTTAGACTTTGACTTTCCCGACAGAAGCGACTGGGAACTTAATATCGCTCTAAGCTATAACGAGATCCTAATATTTAATGTCTTTGAGAGAGACCTATACACTTCCAGATTGCTGCAGAGTATTTCGGGTAGTGATGTGTCCATATGTGCAAGTGACATGGCGTCCATGCTGGTAATCATGATCGACCTAGCTTTATACATACATACTTGATTTCGCTGTGGGGAGTGAAATTTATATGAAGGCGCTTGGGTCGATAATGGATAACTACACATGCGTACAAAAATATTGAAATTCTTCTATTGGGTCCCAAAACACAGTGGTATTCCGGGAAATGAGGAAGCGACTCGAATTTCTGGAGGGCCACTTCTTTAAGAACTTCAGCAGCTTAGGAGAAACTCAAAACCTATAACCCATGATTGTCTCTTTTGTGACTTACCCCTATGCCACACACTTGGGGTCCTACATACATACATATATACTTCAGATGCTGGTAAGGGCCACTTCTGTAGTGCGCGGTCAAATCTGACTGTAGTTTAAACGCTCGCGATAGCTGGTTTAAACTCTAGTTAGCCACTCAAATGACATCCAGATGTTAAATAAATATGAACGCAGTTTACGTAATCTAAGTTCAAACTGGCACTAAAAAACTGGCCCTAAGAAAACATATCGTAAATTTTGAAAGAAAATCACATGCATGCCACCATAAGTACATACACACACATACACACACACACACACACACACCTTTGAATGGCAGACTACACGTAGGCGTCTTGTGACAACCAAAATTTGTTGTGGAGCAGAAAACAGAAACTGAATGAACCAAGAAAACGAAAACAAAATCTTTGCGAAGGAGACTTACTTAGTCTATATGACCCATAGAAAATGACAAGAAATTAAGTGAAATTTATCGATGACAACTGTCGGCAATAATCATCGATGTATGAATGTAGTAGTTCGCGTTGTTTTTTGTTCTTACTGCGTCGCCCATTGGTGCTGCCTTTAACACGGACGCACAAACTCACTCACACACTCACACACCTACACATGCGCGTATATGAAGGTGTCTGTGGAAAAGTGAAAAAATTTTAAACAAAAAACAACAAAAATATTCCATTTTCTGTTGAAAACCTTCACTTTTGAACTGAAAAGCGGATTGTAATGATGTGAGTGACACTTTCGCATTCATGTGTGAACATACATATCGTCGCTGTTTTTTCAAAACCGCCTAAATCGCCGTTATGGCAAAAACGAGATTTGGTAATCCTGAACTCCAAGCATCATGATTTATGCATAAAAATCGTTAAATCGTTATTAAAACAACAGATTTGTAAAATATTAGCTAGAGCAGATACCGCCTCTCAAGCCAATGCCTTCAAAGAATAAACCGTTTTTTCGGTATTCTGTAAAATTTGAGTGCCGCAAGTAAGGCGGGTTTGCAAAAACTTCGACGATATATATGTGCATATGTATGTACACTAGGGTGGTCTAAAAAGTAAAGTCGGAAAAAATATTTAGAGGTCGCTCAAAGCGCTCATAGCTTTTCATGTATTTGATATGGGGCAAAAACAATATTTTTCGATCGCAAAACTCCGGTTCTCATTTTTTAATACTAGCGATTTTTCATGAATGGGTCCCCCATTGCATTTCCTAGGGATTTTGGCGGACCTATGACATATAGTTACTATAAAAAAATGGTTAAATAAATAACTGAATATTATTATTGGGAGTCTCCTGAAGAGAAACGGCTATTTTTCTGATCGAAAAATATTGACTTTCAAGAATTCTGTACCATTTCTACGAAAAGTGCGTTTTTACATAGAACACCTTGAGCGCTTAGAGCGACCTCCAAATATTTTGTGATTTCAAAACAAAAAAAAATAGGGGTAAATAATTTTGCCATATAGAACAATCCTAGGGGCGAGAGCATTTAAATTCCGACTTTACTTCTCCCCGCCCTCCCCCCATATTCGTTTTTGGACCACCGTAATGTACACACATACGTACTAATTGCGCACCTACAACATACGGCCAGTTTTGTCTGTCTGTTCCGTGTGGGAGGTTGCTACTGGATTCTAAAACCATAGCAACTCCGGGCTGCATTATCGCCTGCCCCCTCCCACGGCTGCTCCTGGCCTGCAACAGCGACACCTTGTGCCTGAAGTAGCTCAGTAGTGGCCGTTTGGGGCCTGTCACTCTGCCAGTCAGCTGGTGTCAGTGTGTGCGTGAAGCATGTAATTTGCCACCTACCAAAGTGTCAGTACATACATACATACGTACATAGGGTAGCAATAAAGTTGAAGGAAAAAAATATGAGCTACTACATTATATATACATACGTATGTATGTAGTACGAGGTTGGTAGTTGGACTGTGTTGGATGTGTTTTTGTTGTCGGTTGATGGTGTGGGTGCTCTTTGGCAGCGATTGTGTGTGCGTATGTATGTACGTTGCGAGATGTGCAGAGCAATGAAGAAAAGTGGCAATGAGGCAAAACGTTCCCAACAAAACGTGCTAGGCAGTGAAGTTCTCCGAATCCCTAGACATTCAGACAGCTTCACGAACCCATAGGTGCGCCAAATGCATCTGTAGCAACTTCATGCTGGAGATTTATGTACATAGTGAATAGTGGCTATATGCACTTAGTATATGTATGTATAGGTACGCACATTTATACATTGGGACAAATACAAAGGTTTATTAGTTTTCGTGAGTGGAAAATTTAAAAAATTTAAATAAAAGTGTTTCTTCTTAGGGAAAATTTCTTGCTTTTTGTGCAATCGGAACTGGAACAACCCATCGACGAGCTTTCACTTGCAAAAGCTCTATACTCATATAAGCAAATACATAAGTTCAATATAAAGTCACCATTCACAAACTAACCTAACTTAATTTATTATGTGCGTTTTCCTCTTTTAAATACTTAAATATTTGTCTCCTTTTTATTTTCAGTTTTTACTTGCAACAAAGGAACCTCATGTGGAAGGCGCGTCGTCGTCGTCGAGTCCACTGATTGCCATAAACAGAATTGTTGTTATTAATCAACCTTTTTAGTCATTCACTAGTTCGCCGTAAAGCATAATTGCTGCCATAAATTTAAATAAGATAACTTAAATTAAATGGAATAAAGGTCTTTTCTTTAAAACGTGGCAACTTAAGGATCAGAGCCGGTTCCCAGTGGCTTTGGGGTGGCATTAAATTCCGGAGTTAGGCTAATTGCAACATTTATGCGGAAAAGGAAAGGTAAGCTAATTTCAGTGGAAAGCTTCTTAGCCGGTGATGAGCAGCGACTTGTCCCCGGGCAGATTTTGTTTGAGTTTTCTATACATTTTGTATAAATGCGTGCAGTAAATGCTCTCACTGCCCATCGCTGGTCTAAGCACTAAAAATGTCCCTTTCTGCCATTACTTCTCAATGATCAAATATTGGTTGGTCTAAAAATTAATTACCCATGAATATTTCAAATTATTGTTTTTTTTTTTACTCCGATACATATGTATGCATATAAACCATAATGTAAAACCATAATGCCACAACTGTAGAATTTCTGCGGTGTTGAAGTTAGTTTAATTAATTTTAGGGCGCAAGGGCCGGTCTAAATATTTGCAGGATGTATTAAAACTTCCCAGAAAAGCTCTCTTTATTTTTAATGAGTCGTCCAACTTTTATTTGTCCGGTGTTGTCTTTATGAAACACAACCCAATTATTATTTAATTTTAATCAATTGCGGCCGATTTTTTAACCGATTGCTGATATCTGGTCGAGATTAGAATTAATCACTTGACTGCGCTGAATGAGGGGCAATACTTTTTCAATCGCACCAAATACGTAAAATTATCTTCCGTGGAGTTTCGCCACCGTCTCTGCAGCTACATTTTTTTATTTTCGACACTGATCTTTTCCAAACGTTATTCCCTTAGCTATGCAAGTATTTTAGAACGATGTTGCTTATAGCCATCAATGGTATTTTGGTTTATAAATTGAAATATTTTTCTAACGGTTTGCTTTAACTGGTACTATGCGATGACAGTCACCGCCATTTTAAACGCACACTTTGTGTTCTTTTAATTAACGGCTGCCTATTTCTTGTCCTCTGCTCGGTTAGTTGTTTGTAGCTGGTTGGATATACTATATTCACCATGTTGAGACGCAGCCATTGCAAGTAAATAAATGTGCAACAGTTGCAGTTGCCTGATTTACAGTGGGCAAAGTCGTTTGAATCAAGAAGTGTCTGTAAAAGTGAGAGGATTTATTGTAAGCCTCTGTATTTATAGCATTTTCAGTTGGAATGAAACTTTTTTCCAATTAAATGAAACCATTTTCAGATAAAGCGAAACCTTTTTCAAATTAAATGAAACCCTTTTTAGATTCAATGAAACTTTATTCAAATAAAATTAAACTTCCTTTAAAGAATGCTTCATTTAATTTGAAAAAAGTTTCATTTAATTTGCATAAAGTTTCATTGAATCTGAAAAAGGTTTAATTTAATTTGAAAAAGGTTTCGCTTCATCCGAAAAAAATGTTTCATCTAATTTGAAAAAGGTTCCACTTAATTTGAAAATGGTTTCATTTAAAGTGCAAATGCTATATATATATATTAAATCAAAGTATTAAAAACCGACCACGACCTGAATTTTGAGCTTAGAGAGAGGTAAAAAAAAAATTGCTTTGATATGACAAGCTAGCTTCCCTCTCCGCTGAAGCCGTGCGACTTCCGCACACTTTTTGCAAATTAATAAAATTTCATCTGCCTAAAAGTCAGTTCGCAGCGACTGTGCATTTTGGGTAACCTCGATTGGTTGCCGGCACTGGTTCGCATTTCAACAAGTCATCGCATCGACAACAAACCACGCACGCGGAGAGGGTTCGATGCATGAAAAATGTGTTCTGTTGTAGCTTTGCCAATTGGCAACTGCCTCGAGCTGCCTGCCAGGCACGAGATTCAAGCGACGACTTTGCGATGGGTGCGTGTGTGTGCGTTTTGTGCAGCGCCTTACATGCATCGGCAGCCAAGTGTCGGTGAGCCACTAAACAACAGCAAACCCGAACATCCATGTACAACATGCCAACCCCTGGTTGCGTACACCCCACCCGGCACCGCCTTCACCACCATGGGCCATTGGCTGCTGGCTGCTGGCTGCTGGCTGCTGTCTGCCTTCGCTCTTTCGCTGCAATTAAGCATAAATACCGAAATCGGCGACACTCGAGTGACAGGTGCTGCCAAACTGCGTTAAATCAACAGTCGACGCGCCAATAACAATTGCAACAACATTTATGTACATTCTAGCACAAGAACAACAGAAATGTGTGTATGTACATATGTCGCTCTGGCTCTGGCCGCTTCTCGCCGTTCGCTGCCCGTTGCCATCACTGTTGTTGCTTTCGAATGCATTCGCGAATGCAGTACGGCAAGGAGTGGTGGGTGGGTGTCTGAGGAAGAAAGCAGGGCGGTGCAATGTGGCAGATGGATGTGGCATGCTGTCGCCAACACACTCGCGCATGATTTCTTCCTCACTTTGTTGTTATTTTATTTTATTTATTATTTGCTTATTTTTCAACTTTGCACCCAGTCGATCCCAAATGAAGTGTTGTTAAAGCTGCAACGGCATTTCGAAATTGAATGCGCAGCTGTGTCTAAGTAACAGACCATTACTAAAATCCCTCTCCTGATCACATCAAAGCAAGTTCTGATTCAGAACATAGACTGGGTCAATATTTTCAGGTCGCTATTATTTTTTGGGCAGTTCAGATGATGCCACCTCTTCGTTCCCTTGATAGTTGGTTGATATCCTCATATTTTCAAATAAAACTACAGATTGGCTCATCTCTTACATCGATGTTTGAATTCGCCCGAGTTCGCAGCGGACACTATAAGGTCATTGGAACTCCGCTGGAAATGAGTGAAAGGGTATACAAATCGCTCAATCGAGATTGCTTTACACAGGAATGCCCAGAGAAATAAGTGAAAATAAAACCAGCTGCCGATGTAGCTCATGCGATGATGCAAAAACTGTCTACGTTATCAAAACGGATGTTCGGGTCTCCATTTGTCAATCATAGCACATGCAGCTCTAAAGCTTGATCTTCAAGTGAGTAATTTCCCGCTGGCATTTTAGTTTTATTAAATTTTTCAATATTTCGTTTACAAAATGCCTCTTTAGTGCTCCCCTCAGTTCTACAAAAAAAAAAAAAAAACGAATCCTTTTGGCCATGAGGCTATTCTTATAAAAAAAAAATAAAGCTAAATATTTCAATACCTTCGGGTATTACTGGCCAAACGAAATTTTACCTCCAAAATTCGTGTAATTTGATAAAATACGCGTAGGTTAATGAGGCCGTAGGTTGACTGCGATGCTCAGGCAGTGAAACGTTTCGCACAAAATAATTACCCAGAAGCAGCATCAGCTCCAATAACGGCATTGAACTTAGCTTCCAACTAATGGGAAGGTATTAGGTACTCCCCCAAAGCGAGCAAGCGGCAAACAGTGTGTTCATAAATACGCCTGCGGAGCCACATCGCTGGGGTAAGGGCTTTAATAGAAAACTTAAATTCACTGCGCTTTAAAGCTGCCAGTACGCACAACCCCAACACTCCCCGCCCTCGCCATCGCGTTTGCTAGTAATTTGTTTTAATAAAATTTTTGTTTTCATAAAATATTTAGTTACAAAATTAACCGAAGAGCTTTGCAAAATCTGTGAGTGGCCAATGCGCAAACTGACGTAAGCAGCGAGTGACGAATGCGAATACTTTCAATTGAAACGAGCTGATGGACCAGAGGCTGATGGAGGTAGGCAAACCAATAGGGTCGGTCACTTAGGAAGCTTCCAGCGATTTGTCGTAATTACCAAAATGCAAATTTAATTAAAATTGAAATGAAGAATCCACAAAATATTAAAACTGTGCAAGTAAATTAATTGCCTTGGTTTGTAGCTGCGCAAAAGTTGTAAAATGTTGCAGAGAAAAGAATCGAGTGAGCTTAAAAGAAATAAATGCATATTATTATCCAAATGAATAAATCCCCGATTTCACTTTTTGGGCTAAAAAAACGCTTTTCGAGTGGTAAAAAATTTATGTATAAAATTAAGTCTGATATTACGGTAAATTATACGAAAATTCGTGCGGGACAATAACGTACTAACGAGCAAGAACGGTTTCAAAAGCTTCCCACTCAATCCCCTCAAGCATTCACGCATTTCTTGCATAGATATTTATGGCAATACATACATACATACATACATAAAGCCACATTGGAGATCCCCTATAACAATCTGCAAATCAAGAAGCTCTTCACTTAAAATCATTCAATATGTCCAAAGCTTGCATAATCCTCTCTGCATACACGCACACATACATATGTTTGTATGTATGTATGTATGTGTGTGTGTATTCCATTTCCTCCCCCTCTTCTCAATCGACGCAACGAGAGTTGTTCGTCAATAAGCACGTCAGTTGCACAACGGTAAAATGCGCGCACGTGCCCCAAGCACACTGACGACAGCAATGCAACAAACAGCTCTATGCAGGCCACTGTGAGTTGGGGAGGCGAAAGCAGTTGCCTATTGCCTATATTACCTATGAGTACGTGTGTGTGTGTGTGTGTGTGTTTGTGCGTATGCAGCGCAGTCTTTGAAAATTGGATGCATGTACATACGTGTGCACTTATGCGTCCAAAACAGCAGCATAGAACGTTTCTAAATTTAGGCATAAATCCAAATGCACTCAAAACATCCACAGAGAAAAAAGAACCGAGAAGAGAATAACAACAAAAGCATGGATATGGGATACGCTTCGCACTGACGCAGCAGGCTTTGCTGTCAATGGCCGATAGATAGCCAGGCGTTGGAAGGGGTATTGGATTTCGTTTTCAGACAAAAAAAAAGGGGGAAAAAACTCCAATGCAATGCATCACCGTCTCGCTGCATTGGACTTTACAAAGTAGCTTTGGATACATATGTTGGAGGCGGCGTTTAGCTGGATGATAGGCGAAGTTAACTGCCTTTCTCCACTTCAGGACTTCTCGAGTCTTAGAACCTATTCTGGAAGTTCTTTTTTTTATGGGTTTTACTGCTATGAACTGGGCATCAGTATTTGTATGTATGCACATTAGGGTGGTCCTTAAAAATGTATGAAGCTCATTTTTACATCATCTACTATAGTCGAAGATATCATATATAAATTTTGGTCCCGATCGGAGACAATTAAGGCGGGTCACACAGGAAGTAAAGTTCGAATTCTTGTATGA